GTATGTACATATGTCTATATATATCCCTGCAAATCCTAAACATACGACAATATATACAAACGGAGAATGGGGCTGGTTTCTCTGCATGCATTTGCATGCATTTGCATGCATTTGCATGCATCCACAACTCAAGCAGCTGTGGCTGCTGCAGCAGTTGCTGACGCTGCTGCTGCCTCTCGTGTAACTGCTTTAGCCGCTGCTGCAGCTGCTGCAGCTGCTGCAGCAGCTGCATATGTTGGTGTTGCTTCTGCTGCAGCTGCAGCTGCTGCTGCTGCAGCAGCAGAAGCAGTAGGTGGAGCAGCAAGCCGGAGTGTTTGATTGTAAGGCAATGGGAAAGACAGACAAAAGAAAAGCAAAAGATACTGCTAAAAGAATAAAGCTGCGTACAGTTTATGTTGATGTTGCTTCTGCTGCAGCTCCTGCTGCTGCTGTTGCTGCTGCTGGTGCTGCTGCAGCTGCTGCTTGTGAGGCCGTTGCTGCTTCTGCTGCTGCTGCCCCTGAGACCGCTGCTCCTGCAGCTGCTGCTGTTTTCTCGTGAGAATTCAGGGGGGGCTTCTTGCTGCTGCTGCATGCAAATGAAGACTCTGAGGGGACAGCAGCAGCAGCAGCAGCAGCTGTTGCTGCTGCTGCTGTTCCTGTTGCTGCTGCTGTGCTAGCGGCTGCTGCAACCTGATTCCATGGGGCACAGAAAATATCTTCCTTGCTGCTGCTGGCGTTGTTGCTGTTGCAGTTGTCTCCTTCGCCGCTGATGCTGCTGCTGCAGCACGTTTTGCTGGCGTTGCTGCTGCTGCTGCTGCTGCTGCTGCTGAAGGCTCTGCTGCCTCGATGTCATAAGCCCTTCTCTCAGATCATCGATGCCCCAGACAGAGCCGTCGGCGAGCACAACTCCAATTAATATATGGGGAAAGCCAGCAGCAGCAGCAACAGCAGCAGCTGCTGCTGCCTTGTGCTGCTGCTGCTGCTGCTGCAGCAGCTCCAGTGCAGTGGGATTTGATCGAGTTGCTGCTGCTGCAGGCATCTCGCCTTTTGCTGCAGCAGCAACAGCAGATAAGGGGCTTCCAGCGGGTAGTATTTTCTTCTGCATGAATATGTTTCGTGCTGCTGCTGCTGCGGCTGCTGCTGTGCTGCTGCTGCTGCTGCTGCTGCTCATTTGCTGCAGCTGTTCTGGGTTTTGCGTCGTCTCGCGCAGGCGTCTGTCTGCTTCTCTCATTTGCTGCTCTACAGACAAAGACAAAGACAAAGAGGAAGCCTTCTGCTTCCCAGCAAACCTCCAGCCAAATGAACTCTCAATGTAAGAGATTGAATCATCTGCTGCTGCTGGTGCTGCTGCTGCTGTTGCTGCTGCCGCTGGTGCTGTTGTTGTTGTTGTTGTTGTTGCTGCTGCTGCTGCTGTTGCTGTTGCCGCTGTTGCTGCTTCTGCTGCAGCCTGGTTTTCTTTTATTACTGCTGCAGCAGCTGGTGTTAATATTTGATCCTCGTGCTGCTGCTGCTGCTGCTGCAGCGTGGGGCTTACCCACCACGTTTGCTGCTGATTTTTTCTGCTGCCAGCATTTTGCTGCTGCAGGAGTTCGTCTGAGTGGAAGGCATCGACGAGACAGAGACAGAAAGCCTCTGTATAAACATCGGACAAGAGCACAGCAGGAGGAGGAGCAGCAGCAACAGCAGCAGCAGCAGTAGCAGCAGCAGCAGCAGTAGCATCGGTGGCAGGAGCAGTAGCAGCGGCAATAGCAGCAGCAGTAGTAGTAGCAGCAGTAGCAGCAGCAGCAACAGGGCAATGCATGCAACCGTTTGGCTTCGCATGCACAGGAGATGAGAAAGGTGCAGATACACCTGAATTATTTACCTGAAAGTAATTCAATAGCTTTTCTCTCTTCTTCGTTTTCGTTTGTTTTTGCTTCTCGCAAGCCCCAGGTGTCTGTACACTGCAAACAATCTCCTTGAAATGAATCGTAGGAGGAAAAGACAGAAGAAGACAAAGAGGAGTCAAAAAATGCTGCTGCAGCATCTGTTGCAGAGTCTGCTGCAGCTGCTTGGCCTGTTGCTGCTGTGTCGGCTGCTGCTCTGTCTGGTGCTGCTGCTGCTGCTGCTGCTGCTGCTGCTGCTCCCATATACGCGTCTAAATACGCATCTGGAAGTGGTGCTGCTGCTGTTAGTGCATCTGCTGCCCCTGCGCCTGCTGCTGCTGCTGTTGCTGTTGCTACTGGTGGTGGATATGCAGCATCTGCTGCTGTTGCTGCTGCTGCTGCTGCTTCGAATGCAAGCGAAAGGACCTCCTCCGACAGCACAGTGGAGACAGAGATAAAAACCAAAGTTATAGAAAGCGCAAAATACAAAAAACTTTTTCTTTTTTGTCTCATTCCCATTTCATTAATTGACGTATATTTTCTGTTGTTGATATTGTTGAGGCTTTGCTGTTCATATCTTTCTTTATCTTTGCTCTGCTTTATGCTTGTCTTTTTCGTTGCATTGGCTTTTCATATTTGCTTTATTCCTGTATAAAGCCATCTCCCTTTGTTTTTTTTACATCTTTTCTTCTTTTTCAGCGGTGCTGCTTCTATCAAGCCTTTTGCTTTCTTCCTTTGTTTCCTCTCCCATTGAGCGTTATTCCCTTTGTTGATCTTTATTGCTTGCTCTCTATATCTATTTGTTTATTTGTATTTATCTAAATTCAATTTTCTTCTGGCTTGGGTCTCAGACGCTTCGTTGCAAAAAATGTGCAGAAATGCCGTGCGTTGAACTCCAGCGCAAGTTGGGGGAGGTTGCGCGGATCGAAACGAGGGATAAATGGATGAAATTGTGAATTAATTAAAGAAATAAAAAGAAATAAGTTCATTTTTCATGTTTTTATAAAGGATTCACAGTGCATGCGGAGAGTACAATGGCGATCAGTGCTGCATATACGCCCGACGCCAACAGGAGGTTTCCTTTCATTCTGCAACAAATTGTGCGAAAAAGTCTGGAAATTTTCTCTGAAATTTGGCAAATAAGATTTAATTTGTATTTTTTATTGTTTCAGAGAAATATTTTAAATAGTTATGTTGGGATCAAAGCGGCGGCGTTGCTGCCCTCATGACGTGGGTTGACACTGAAAAGCTCGTGTTCATGAAACACCGTTGTTGCACAGCTACAAAAGAAGAGAGAAAGCGATTAATTTTATATTGTTTTACCCTTTTAAAGTATTTCAATAATTAAACACAGACATTTTATTTTTATTTCACGAGTTATATATCTCTAAAGGCTGATAACCAATGGGCTTGCCACTGGTTTACCGGCGCCGATGCAGAAACAGATTCAAACTTCAGCTGCAAATGTATGCATTTGCATGCACATACACCTAAAATTATTAAAACCATTTAAACAAATTCATAATGAGCGAAGCCCTTTGCTGTATGAAGGCCTGGGGAGAGAAGACCCCTATGTTCAGGCTTCGCATCGCATGCTTGCATATGCGTATAATGAGTAAATAAATAAATAAATATACATATATGTATATATACATATATATATATATATATTATGATTACATGCGGTTGCCTGCACGTGCATGCGTGCATATATACATGAAAAATATATATATATATATATATATATATATGTATGTATGTATAAACATATGTACGTCATCATACACATAATCGTAGATACGGGTGTTTGCATATTTCTACTTCTGTATTCACATATACGCATCCATACCCATGTAGGGATATATGCATACATGTAGTACAAACATAGATATTAATATTATCCTCTGTATAATATATATATATATATATATATATGTTTTCATTTATTTATATCCGCATATACGTGTCTAAATATCTATATCTATAGATCTTCATCGATATACCTATATCTATATATCTGTATCTCTATGTCTGTATATCTATAGGTCTATACTTCTATACATTACTAGGCAATATTTATGCATGCATGCACACACAAACACAAGTGAAGCACAAGACAAAATTGACAGAACAAAAAAATAAACAAAAGAAAAACAAAACAGAAAAAACACCGGGTGAAGTGAGCATGAAATATAATATAATATAGTATAGCATAATATAATATAATATAATATAATATAATATAATATAATATAATATAATATAATATAAT